TTTCTATGTTTATTGTAAATAACAGTCCAATTTCTCCAACCTACAAGAACCTCAAGACTGCTCCCGAGCTTTTCCCCTGGTATTCCTCTGTAGCAAGGTTTATTGAATTAGACTATTGGTGAAATAAATAGTTTACGCTACATTATTCTTGACACCTATTTCTTTGAATGATTAACAAATAAGTATCTTTATAATGTGTGACTGTTCTGTAAGATGGTATATAAATGCTTACTATTTGCTATTTATACTACTTGCAAACATCTGTGGACTTTATGTAGACATACACTGAAAACTCATATATATTCAAATTTTGAAGACTTTTTCAAATTGTCATATTTATATACCTGCTCAAAGTAATTCAAGACCAATAACTGTTTTAGATTTATAGTTTTTATTTATTTTTTAATTTGCTAGAGAGCATATGTACTCACCAGAGAGAGAAATACTGAGAAGAAGGGAGAGAGAGAAAACATCTCTCGATGGATTGTGGGTTAATCACAATCCTTTCTCCTTCATTTCTTGATCCTTTTGGGATTTGGTGCACATACACATGCACCAGCATGGTTTTTAAGCTGCCAGAACTGGGATTTGAACCATGGTCGGCTGTGTGGGATTTGGCTCCCTTAACCACCAGGCCACAGGATGGCACCAGGTTTCTAATGAAAAAAATCTTTCCCCACTTCTGCTGTAATGATTATTTAAAATGAATAACCAATTACTTGTAATAATGAAATTTATTTTTAAAACAAAATATAACATTTGGGTATTTTAAAAAATAATCCACAGATACATATAAAATATATGTGTGTGTGTGTGTGTGTGTCCCTTTTAAACATTTTTATGATAGTAAGAATACAACATAAAATCACCCTCTGGATTTGTAAGTGTGTAACACAGTTTTATTAACTATAGGCACAATGTTGTATAGAAGATCTCCAGAATTTATTCATCTTGCATAACTGAAATTTTATATTTGTTGATTAGCAACTCATTTTTCCTCCCCCTAGTTCTTGGCAACCACCATTCCATCCTCTGCTTCTGTGCATTTGACTATTTTAGGTGCCTCATAGAAGTGGAATTGTGCAGCATTTGTCGTTCTGTGCCTGGCTTATTTTATTTAGCATAATGTCCTCAAGTTTCATCCACATTGTCACATATTTCAGGATTTCCTTCTTTTTTAAGATTGAATATTATTCCATTGTAGGAATATGTTACATTTTATTTATCTGTTCATCTGTCGATGGACACTTGGGTTGTTTCTATATCTTGGTTTCATGAATAATGCTGCAATGTACATGAGAATGCAGATATCTCTTCTACATACTGATTCAATTCCTTTGGATATATACCCAGAAGTGGGATTGCTGGATCATATGGTAATTCTATTTTTAGTTTGTTGAGGATCCTCCATACTGTTTTTTAAGGTGAATGTACTATTTTGCATTCCCACTGTATACAAGAGCTTTAGTTTCTCTACATCCTGTGCCAACACTTGTCTTTTCTTTTTTTCGATAATACTTATTCTAACAAGTGTGAGGTGATATCTTACTGTGGTTTAGATTTGCATATCCTTGATTAGTGACACTGAGCAGCTTTTCATATACCTATTGGTCACTCATATGTGTATTTTTAAGAAATGACTATTTAAGCCCTAAGTCCTCTTTTAAACTGGGTTGTTAGTTTTTTTACTATTAAACTATGAGAGATATTTATATATATTTGAAATTAATCATTTATCAGGTATATATTTTGCTAGTATTTTCTTTTTTTCTATAGATTAATTTTTACTCTGTTGAGTATTCCCTGAAGTCTACATGAAAAAAATCCTATTAAAACTAATGAATGAATTTGGTAAAGTTGCAACATTCAAACATCAGTTGCATTTCCATACAGTAATAGCAAACTTATCTAAAAATGCTCTTGGGAAAACTATCCCATTTACAGTTGCATCAAAATGAAAAAAACACTTAGGAATAAACTTAACTAGGAAATGAAAGACATAACCTATAATCAAATAAAATAGCTGCCTTTTATTATTTTGGAATAATTAACTTCAAATGTAAAATGTGTACCTTGATATTAATAATTAGCAGCATGTTTGTAATAACCTGATTACTTT